GAACCCAGGGCCTCATGCATGCAAGGCAAGCGCTCTACCACTGAGCCACCTTCCCAGCCCAGATTGAGTAATTAATAAACAAAAATTTATCACTTTTTTTTTCCAGTCCTGGGGCTTGAACTCAGGCACTGTCTATGGGCTTTTTTGCTCAAAATTAGCACTCTACCACTTGAGCCACAGTACTACTTCTGGCTTTTTCTGTTTATGTGGTACTGAGGAATTGAACCCAGGGCTTCATGCATGCTAGGTAAGCACTCTACCACTAAGCCACATTCCTAGCCCCTCATTTACAATTCTGGTAGCTCAGCAATCCATACATAAAAGCACCAGCAATTCAATATCTGATGAGAACTACCTGCTTCAGAAGTGGTACATTCTTGCTGTGTCATCACAGCAGAAGGAAAAAAGCAAACTCATGTCCCTTTTATAAAGGTACTAAGGCAATTCAGAAGAGTAAAGGTCTCAAAATCTAAACATTTCCCAAGTGCCACACTTTTTCATTGGGGATTAGGTTTTAATGTTTGAATCTGAGGGGTAGTAAAGAGCACAACATTCAGATCACAGCAGAGTTAATCAGATTAATAAGATAATAGGGAGAACTCAGTATGACATAATACCTTTATAAGAAGAGATACTAGAGAACACTTGTGCAGATGCAAATGTGTACTTATTGTGTACACACACTTTCCCCACCCTAGTCATATGTGCAAACGCAGTAAAAAAAAAAAAAAAAGCAGCCATCTGCAAACTAAGAAAAGGACCCTCACCAGAAATTGACAATGAATTTTCTATCTTGCCAAAGAACCCTAGTGTATCCCATGTCCCTTCCTGATCTAATTTCAGAGTATCTGCTCTTACCTCGAGGTCTTTGATCCCTTCCATCAGAAAGAATGACATTGCCCCATTTGTAAGGAAATGGAAATACTCAGAAAAAAAATCATATATGCCTAGAATAGTACTAGCAGAGGATCAAAATAGTACATATCACCATATAAAATGATATTAATCAAAATGAACTCCAAGAGTTTTTATTTATTTTTTTAATGTACTATGTGAAGGTTTTCTTTTTCCTTCATTTTTTGTTTTTTTTCCCTTTAGTTTATACATTGTTGCCACTGCTTTTTTATTTTTGATACCCTATGTCTTGTATATATCTTTATCTGATTTGGTGAAGGGAAAGGGAATAAAAAAAATAGTGAGACTAATGATAAAGGGTGAATCAATGCAACAGCAATACTCACAAGACACTAGGTTGGAAATGAACTTTACAACTTGGGGAGGAGGGAAGTCAGGGGTTGGGGGAGGGAAAGTGGGAGAAAACAAGGGAGAAGTAACAATATTTGACAAGAAATGTACTCATTACCTTACTTATATAACTGTAATCCCTTTGTATATCACCCTTACAATACAAGAGAAGAAAAGGAAAGGAAAAAGAAAAACAAAACCATAAAGGAGCTGAGCCAGATGACTCATGCCTATAATTCTAGCTACTTAGAAGGAACCACAACTGTGGTTCAAAGTTAGCCAGGGGAAAAAACTCTGAGACTCATCTCCAATTAACTACCAAACTCCTGGGCTGGATGTATGGCTTTAGTGGTAGAGCACTAGCCATGAGCAAGATCCTAAAGCCCAGAGTTTAAGACTCAGTACTAAGGGGTGGGGGGAGGAGGGGAACCTACAATAATAAGGGCAAAGATATAAACAATTTTTCAATTTCTGAAGCTTTTTCACCAGAATAAGGACATATTCATAATCACTCAAAAAGAGAAGTACTGTACTATGGAGCAGAAAATGTACAAAAAAAAAGAAGTTTAGGCTTTTGTTTAAGCTCTTTGATATTCACTTGTTTAAATTGTTTGAATGTGGGCACACTAGTGGGAAAGAGGTAGGTGAATGAAAAAAGGGAATGAGGGACAAGTACAGTCAGAATATTCAATATGTGCATGTGATGAAGGAAGTGGGAAACATGAAAAGAGTCAGAGTTGGATGAGGGAGACTGATGGTAATCAAGAAGCACTGAACACAAAGACACACGTCGAACTGAAAGAAGCACTGAACACACAGACACACGTCAAACTCAAACCCCCTTGGTACAACCATTTGAAGTTTAAAAAGTTAATTTTTTTAAAAAGATAATGATAATTGAGTAAAGAAAAAAAATTATAGTATAGCTCATTTTTCTCAACACAGGTAGCAACAAGAGGAAAAAGGAAGAGCCATTCAAATTTTTTCAAATGCTCCAACTTAAAATCATTTTAAACTATTAAACAACATAATAATTAAAAGGGATATAACCAGTAAAACAAACATAGCTATCACTTACATGTTTAAAAGACCCATAGGGAACTGCTGTGGACCCTGTCTCTTCTAGATAATCTTCCCAGCTTAATTCCACTTCTTCCATACCAGATCCAGTATCTGGAATTCAATACAAAATGAAACAGGTGAGAATCCCAACTAAATAAATTAAGAAAGAAATTAATTACAGAATGTTCTTCAATACAAGTTAACTGGTTTTAAACCAAAGAATTAATTGAATCTTGGCTTTTTGTACTTTTTTTCTGCTGTTTACAAGTAGGTGACCTTAAAGTACTGGTTATTGATGCAAAATAGCATTTATCTACCTGTCTTGGTGGCAAGTCATTAACTGTGAAGTTCATCCAAATGGATCATATGCAGCTAATTGAAGTATAAAAATTCAACCATTTAGTTTTCTTAATAGATATTTCAAACAAAAAAAATTCAATCTAATTCTGAGTATATTCCAACTGAGTAAAAGTACGAGTCAATATTTTACCTCAACCCAAAAAAAGATAAAGTCATCCTTGTTTTCTTTCCATTTTTCACTGTTATATCCAGTTCATAAAGAAAGTTTCTATAGGTACTATCCTTAAAATATATGGCAAATTTAATCACTTCTACCTATCTAGCATTATCTCTAGGTCAAAGCCTAAATATAGTAGCACTTATTTTCAATCTAGTTAAATAAGGTCTTAAAAAATCTCTAGGAGACTTAAAAGCCCTATGTGATCTGACTCTCTTGGCCATCTGCCTCCTCTTTCACCCATCAGACTTGCTACTCACTGTATTCAGATAACAGCGAGTTTCCCACCATTTTGTTTGCTATGTTTTATTTTAAGACAAGGTCTCACTATGTATTGAAGTAAAGGGGCCAGACCATGCTAGTCTTAATCCTCTTGTTTCTACCTCCAAAGTGCTAGAATTACAAGGAACTGGGATTAGTTAGGCATCTACCAACCACCACATCCCACATCCAGTTTTCTTGCATTTCTTTCTTTCTTTTTTTTTTTTGGTAGTACTGGGGATTGAACAAAGAGCCTCATACAAGCCTGACAAGCACTGCCTTGAGCCATACCCTCAATCCTTTCATTTTTCCATTTGCTTTTCAAAAAAGGTCTCAAACTTTTCCACAGGCCTTCCTTGGCCTGTAATTTTGCTACTTCTGCCTCAATAGAAGCTGGGATTACAAATGTGTACCACCATGCCCAGCTAATCATGTTCTTTCTCCAAGGTCTCCACATTTGTTCTTCCCTCTGCTCAGAGGCTTATCAGTTAATTAGGATCACACCTCTTCTCAAATACTGCCTCTTCAGAAAAGCCTCCCATACCTACCCATTCTAAATGGGTCCCTATTTCCATTTTCTTTATGGCATTCATTCCTATTTGACCAGTATACAATATTTTTTGTTTCTTTCTGTGTGTGTGTATGTGTGCACATGCTCACGCATGTGTGCCTGCATGCATGCATGTGTGCCCATGTGCATGAATTGCTCCCAGAACTTCAACTCAAGACTTGGGAGCTAGTCCGGAGCTTTTTTGCTTAAGGCCAGTTTTCTACCAGTTGAGCCACAGCTCCTCTAATGGCTTTTGGTGTTTAATTGGAGATAAGAGTCTCATGGACTTCATGCCCAGGCTGACTGAACTGCAATCCTCAGATCTCAGCCTCCTGAATAGCTGGATTACTAGTGTGAGTCACCAGTGCCTGGCACCACATGTTTTTTATCTTCCTTATGGGTCAAAACTCTGAGAAGACAGGAATTTTGTTTTGGTAATTCCAACATCTTTGTCATCTGGACTCAGGTGGTATACAGTAAACAACATTCATTAATTAGACAAAGATTTACATACTCTATTAGTCAATAACAGATTTCATATAAACTGCTTAAGAGAATGTTTCCTTATTTACTAATGTATCCCTCTTCCTAGCACAATGCTTGATACAAAGCTAGTTCTCAATAAACAGTTGTACCCTAGGCAAAGGCATGCTTCCCATAAACACAAGAAAGTAAATACAGGGATAGTCATAACAACACTGTAACAGACTAAAAGCAAACAGTAGAAGTTGTGGCAATACTGCCACAGAATACTGCCACATAATAGCTAAAATGAATGAACTAGTCTTGATATAGATATGTTTCAAACACACCCACACTAAGTAGAAAGGGCAAATGCAGAACAGAAAGTGAAGCTAGAAACAATTTATGCTTCAGAACAAAACAGCAGAATAATTTTATAATTATATGCATATTAGTAAGAGCAAGAAAACAGGAATAGAAAGAATATACATAAACTTCAACAATGATACCTTAGGGATAACAAAAAGAAAATAAATTAGAAGGGAAATACAAGAAACTTATTTGTTTTTTTCTTTTTTAAAAATGGAAATACATCATGGAGCATGGTGATACAGGCCTGTAGTTCCAGCTCTTGGGAGCTGGAAGCAGGAGAATGTAAAGTATAAGGCTAGCCTGATCTAGATAGTCACATCCTGTCTCAAAAAAAAAAAAAAAAATATATATATATAAAACACTAATGATCATACAACTATATCTAAACTATAAACAAAACCATCTCACACACATTAGGATAACTATTAGCAAAGAAACAGAAAATGACAAGTATTGGTTGAGTACTTGGAAAAATTATACCTGTGCACCACTAGTAGGAATGTAAAATTAAAAAGTCACTATAGAAAATTATAGTGACCTAAATTTTTTTTCAGAACAAAAATTTTTAACAGACACTTCTCATAAAAAGCCAAAAGAAATGAAAGGAGGAGCAAAAATATATTAATACTTGAGTGTTCATAGCAGTACTTACAATAGTCAAAAGGTCTTATCCACAGAAGAATGGATATGCAAAATGTTGTACATATACACAATGGAATATTATTTAACCTTAAAAAGAGGAAATCCTGTAGCATGCTACAACTTGAACTTTAAGAATGTAATGCTAATTGAAATAAATAAGCCAACCATATAATACTATATATGATGTCATTTACATGAGATACCTAGAGTAGTCAAATTCATAAAGACAGAAAATAGAAGGGTGGGAAAAGGAGAATGGAGAGCTATTGTTTAATTCACACAGAGTTCTCATTTGTAAAGATGTAAAAAGAGATGTATAGCAGTCTTGAACAAAAAAAAAGAAAAGGAAAGAAAAAAATAAGCGAGAGTACAAGGCCCTGAGTTCAAACCCCAGTACCAGCATATATAGCTAGAGCAAAAATAATTGTTAACATTTAACAAGTAATATGACAAAATTTATATTGCATCTACTTTGATACAGTAAGAAATCAAAACAAATATTAACAATGTTAACATTGATTAAATATTCACAGCAAGTACATCTCTGTTATTTTTTTCATATGTTTTTATGTATGTGAGATTTTTCATTAGAAAAACAAGTGACAAAGACTGCTTTGAGAATAACCTTGGAACTTTAGGCCAACTTCCACTACTAAACATAACCAGGCTGAGTATTCATAGTCCTGAGTAAGTACTTCAGTCCCTTAATCATTATGCTCTTCAGATAGTGATAATAATAATGATAATAGTAGTAGTAGTAGCCAGTAGTAGTGGCTCATGCTTATAATCCTAGCTATTCAGAGAAAAAGAACCAGATCCATTATCCTATGCCAAAAGAGACAAAAAGCTCATGACACCCCATCTCATCAGAAAAAGCTGGCCATGTGGCATCTACACATCTATCATTTCAGCTATGGCAGGAAGTATAAACAGAGAATCTTAGGCTAATCTGGACAAAAAGAAAGATACTGGAAGTGGCGCTGTAGTTCAAGTGGTAGAGCGCTAGCCTTGAGCTGAAGAGCTGAGGGACAGAGCTCAGGCCCAGAGTTCAAGCTCCACTACCAACAAAAAAAAAAAGAAAGAACAATACTACTTCAAAAAATAACTAAAATACAAAGGGCTGGAGGTTCAAGCAGTAGAGTGCCTGCTGAGTAAGTACAATGCTCTGAATTCAAATCCCAGTACTGTCAAATAAATAAAAAGCAACAATAAACCTGTTGGATTAGTCAACTAAATTCTTTCATATATCAAAAACTACCAAAACTGAGACAAAAGAAGACTGATGAACAAATATATGAAATAGTTAAAAAGAAACTCTTTATGAAAAGATGTACAGTTTTTTTCTAATATTAAGAGGCATGCAAATTACAACTATATGAAACATATGTCTGAGTACTTGAGGTAGAACTCAGACTCAGGGCTTTTTACTTGCTCAGTGGGTACTCTACCACATAAGGCTCTTTTTGTATTGGTTATTTTTGATACAGGGTCTTGCTTTATTCCCAGGCTGTGATCTTCCTACTAATGCTTTTCCGTGTTGCCAGTGATGACAAATACATGCCACTATATCCAGTTGTTGGGCTTCTTCTGTAACTAATATAACAGGCAACTGCCACAGTACTCAGACTTTGGCTAAAATGGAATATTAAAAACGTATTCTCAGGCTGGCCTCAATATCCCATGATCCCCCACCTCTGCCTCCTAAAGAAGCTAGGGTTATAGGCCTGTGCCACTGTGTCCAGGTTCAGATTGGAAAACCTTTCAAAGTCTGACAATGTATTCCATAAATGCTGTGATATGACAAGTAAAGCATAATAACAACTCCTGTAAAAGAAAACTAGGCAATATTCAATAAAATTAAATATATTCTTACCTTTTGATGCAGCAATCTCACTTATAGGAATCTATCCCAAAGATATGCTAGCAAAAATACAAAAAGACATATGTACAAAGCTATTCATTACAGCACTGTTTGCAGTACCACAACTGGAAATAATCCCAATGTCCATCAATAATGACCTGATTGAATACATAGTATATCCATTGAGTCTGTACTTTAAAATCAAGACATTTTAGTTTGGCATAGCTGTAAAAAGCAATGAAAATGATCTCTATATACTCAAGTAGAACAGTCTCCAAACTATATTAAATGAAATCACAGTATAGTGTGTGTGTGCGTGTGTGCGCATGTGTGTGTGTGTGTGTGTGTGTGTGTGTGTGTGTGTGTATGTGTGTGTTGGTAGTGAAGAGGCTTGAATTAAAGGCCTGGGTACTTTAAACCAGGAGCCTCAGAACTCAGCCTCCTGA